AGAGAGAGAGACAGCGTGAGCAGGGGAGGGTCAGAGAGAGAGGGAGTCACAGACTGAAACAGGCTCCAGGCTCTGAGCTGGCAGTCAGCACAGAGCCCGACGCGGGGCTCGAACCCACGAACCGCGAGATCATGACCTAAGCGAAAGTCAGACGCTTAACCGACTAAGCCACCCAGGCGCCCCGACCAGCCACCTTTCAAATGCTTGGTAGCCACATAGAGGATGTATGAGACAACACCCAGTCTAGAATTTTAAACAGCTCCAAATGCCGGGAATGAGGCACTCAAATATAAATTACAATGGAGTCCTGTAGTACCTGACTTAAATAGTAAAATCATATTTAGGCATTTCTCAGAATAAGCCCGTGGATTCTCATCTCTCACAGTGTGCGAAACCCTATTCACAATTGGGCTCCCTTAAGAAAATCAGCTGACTCCCTGCCCCAAGAGCTCCCAGGCCAGACTCAGGGGCCAATGAGTCACAAAGCGAAGTAAATAGTGTTAGAGTCTGAACTAGTATAGCAGGAAGACAGCTGAGTCAGCTGTGGGGAAAGAGACAAGAGGCAGCATGGAGAACCCTGGTGTGAGTGGTAGAGTAGGGAGCCTGGGTGGGAGCAGAGCGTAGGGCATGGTTGAAGCAGCCCAGCCTCTGGGATGTCAGAAGGTAAAGGACTATGACCATGAGGAGACCAGGCCATAGGAGAGGAAGCTCAGCCAGCTGGACTTCAACTTTTCAATCCTGTCTAATAATCTTTGCCTCTTAAAAAAAAAAACAGCTTTGTTAAGCTATAATTGACCATAGTCAATGGCTCCTATTTTAAGTGTATGGTTTGATCAATGTTACCACATGTACTCATCCCCGTAACAATTTGTACAATCAAGATAAAAAAAACAGATCTGTTGCCCCTAGAGTTTCCTGGGGCTCCTTACTGTCTTTGTCTTTTAGCGAGAGAGTTTAGTACATTTACATTTATTGTGTTTACTGTTATACCTGGATGGCTTTCAAATGATAGCAGTGCCTACTTCCCAAGACTGCAGGGAGATCTAGATGGGAGGATGGCACAGAACGAGCACTGGTAACACACGGTGCCCCTGCTTCTGCTTCCACCCTCCTCCAGAAAGCAGGGAGAGGAGCTGGTACCACACTCACTCAGCCTCGCTGTGTCCAGGTCTCAGTCCTGCCTTCTCACAGGACCCCGAGGCCCTTGAGGACAGAGACCCCTCCCTGTTGGCCCTCCCACAGGTATTCACTGACCCCTGCGCCCCAGTCTGGTTTCTGCCACCTAACTGTGGGGCCTTGCCAAGTGACTGTGCTATTCTAAGCTTCGTTTTCATATCTGTAGAGTGGAGACAATGGTAATTAATGTGCCTCTTCTCCAGGGATGAGGTGTGGATGGAGCACAATTGGGGATTCACCCAGGCCTACCTGACATACAGTATTTTCTAGACATGAGAACCAGCAATGATGTCATTGCCACACTCAATGTGTTCATTTGGTTACTGTATAAGCATTTCCTATGCCAGCTGGTGTACCGGGCATGGGGGAAACAGACATGGCCCTGTCCTGGACTTTGCCCCAAGGGATGTTCCAGAAGGTTGTTGGAGGGAAGCAGGAGGGTGGGAATTTAGGAAAGCCAGGTCTATGGAAAAGACACCTGCTCTGTGAGTTACCTGTATCCCTTTGTTCTGGGGCAGGACTGTCTCACTCATCTTTATTTATAATTTAAAAAATTGAGTGTGGGGGCGCGCCTGGGTGATTCAGTCAGTTAAACATCCTACTTTGGCTGAGGTCATGATCTCACAGTTTGTGAGTTCAAGCCCCGCATCAGGCTCTGTGCTAACAGTGTGGAGCCTGGAACCTGCTTTGAGTTCTGTGTCTCCCTTTCTTTCTCTCTGCCTCTCCCCAACCCCTGCTCACACTCTGTGTGTGTGCCTCTCTCTTTCTCTCAAAAATAGATAAATATTATTAATGTTTATATTTGAGGGGTTAGGGGCAGAGGGAGAGGGAGACCAAGAATCTGAAATGACTCCATGCTGATGGCAGAGAGCCCGATGTGGGGCTGGAACCCATGAACTGTGAGATCATAACCTGAGTCAAAGTCAAATGCTTAACTGATTGAGCCACCCAGGCACCTCTTAAATTAAAAAAAATATAATAATAATGTTTATTTCTGAGAGAGAGAGAGCAGGGAGGGGCAGAGAGAGAGGGAGACAGAAAATCCCAAGCAGGCTCCGCGCGATCAGTGCACAGCCTGATGTGGGGCTCAAACTCACAAACCGTGACATCATGACCTGTGCTGTAATCAAGAGTCAGGCACTTAACCAGATGCGCCACCCGGGGGCCCCTATTTTTTTTTTTTCTTCATGATTTCATTTTTAAGTAATCTCTATCACCAACACGGGGCTTGAACTCACAACCCTGAGGTCAAGAGTCGTATACTCCACTGGCCAAGGCAGCCAGGTGCCCCTCACTCATCTTTAGGTCCCCCTAAACCTACCCCCTTCCCAGTCAAAAAATAAAAGCAAAAAAGTGGCCCTGTAAAGCTGATAAAATCAAACAAGTTTGAATGAGGGCCTGAAGGGTGGATGGAATTTGGTTAGGAAGCCAAAAGGGGGGCTTGCACCCCTAAGATTGCCCACAGCCTGGGCCACGGTGGGGTGGTGGGAATGAGCCTGGCGCCAGGGAGACCCAAGGTCTGACACGCAGCACGCGGGAGCCATGCCATGTTCTTGAGCGGGGGAGTCTCCATGACACGAACACTGTAGGAGCAGCCAGTGAAAAAGGCAGAAATGCTCTCTGGACAGCTTGAGGAACATAGCATGCATTTACTAGGAGTGCTGTAACCAAGTACCACAAACAGGGTGATTTAAAGCAACAGAATTTATGATCTCACTGCTCCAGAGGCCGGAAGTCCAAAATCAGAGCTGGCAGGGCCGTTTGCCCGCTGAAGGCGCTAGGGGAAGGTCCGTCCCAGGTCTCCTTCCTAGCTTCTGTCAGCCTCGGGTGGCCCTTGGCTTCTAGAAAGATCGCTCCAGTCCTCCATCTTCACATGGCCATCCCCCCGTGTCTTCACATCGCCCTCCCTCCGTGCATGTCTGTGTCCAAATCTCCCCTTTAGAAGGACGCCAGTCACACTGCATTAGGGCCCACCCCCAGAGCTCATCTTAACCTGGTTAAATCTATAAAGACTCTGTTTCCAAATAAGGGCCTATTCTGGGGTGCTGGGGGGTAGGTCTTCAATATATCTTTTTTGGGGGGAACACTGATCAGTGCCTAACAAGGAGGTTCCAAAGAAGCCAAGACTTGACTTCCCCAGGGAAGGCATTCCAGAGCTCGGCAAGGTTCTCCCCCCTCACCCCCCCCCCCCCGCTCCTGGGCAGCCTCCGACCTCCAGGGCTGGGAGGGCGGAGGTTGTATCCACGTCTCTTTCCCCAGACGGAGAGCTGGGTCCTGTTAGGGGTGCTGGAAGTGCCCAGCATAGGTGGGCGCTGAGGGGCCTCCCCGGGTGGGCGCGCAGGGATTGAGTTTGGACCGGTGAGGAGGGGTCCTGCCTGGAGCAGTTTCCTTGGGCTGGTTTAACTCCAGTAAGAGGTGGAGACAAGGGGGGGTCAAGGACACACACTGGCCAACTCCCCACCCCACCCCCACCCACGCGCAGCTGTCAGGAGGCCAAGGCGCGGAGGCAGAGTGGCAGGTATGGGTTCAAATCCTGCCGCAGCGCCGGCCCTGCCTCTCTGAGCCCCGTTATTCCCCGTGGGAAACAAGGGGACTGAATGCCGTGGACTGAATGCTGCCTTGGGGCACAGCCTGGGGTCCAGAGGGACCACAAGGCTGAGAGCAGCTGCATTTGCTGGGTGGGCGCTGCTGGAGGGAGGGGAAGAGAGCAGATGCTTCCCCCGGGGGCTGGCACTGCAGCTCCTCAGCCACCCAGGACCCCTGGTCTGGTCCCGGGGTCGCACATGGGGGAGGCGGGCGGGGCTGGCGCGTGGCACCTAGCTGCACGGAGATTAAAATTGCCTTGTGATTTCTCTCTGCTCTGCCGGGGCCTGCCAGAGCTCAGAAGTAAGTCTCTTTCTGGGGTCTGGGGGTGCGTGGTGGTCTCGGGGCAGGGCCCACACCCAGGGCCGCCGCTGGAGCGCTGCCCGGTGGCCCTGGGAGGCGGCCAGGGCTTGTATCCACCTTGTCACCTGGGCCTGGGAGTCCACGTTCCTGGGACCTCCTGGATCGGGCCGCATGGACAACGGCCGGGAGGTGGACGCTGTTGGGGGTGGCTGAGCCACCCGGCAGGCCCTGCTACCCCAATATGTGCTGGGAGGGAATGTGCTGCATGGGGCCTCACCCTACCTCCCACCTTCTGCATGTCCCACAAGGCGATCCCAGGTGGGGGGGGGCATGCTCAAAGGGCCCCACTCCCCTGCAGCCTCCACCCAACCCTGTCTCCCCACCCCTCTGTGTGTCTCCCAGGCTCCGGAGTGTGAAGATTGAGCAGGGGAAGCTGAATGACCAGGCCAACACTCTCGCCGACCTGGCCAAGGTGAGAGCCAGGTGGGGCTGGGAGGGGTCTCCCCGGGCCAGAAGGGGGTGGTCAGCCCCCCCCTCCCAAGGAGGAGAGGGGACATTCAATAAAGAGCAGAGCCACCTCCTGCCCGGGGAGGAACAGTGTGGGTGCTGGTAGTGTGGACGGGGACACAGTCCAGGTCTGCAAGCCTCCAGAGGTTCCGACTGTCAGAGAGAAGCTAGGACTCCACATCGGCACGTAAACTCCTTTTTAACATTGGCAGCTATTTTGCTTTTAAACTGTATCTAGGAAAATAGCTTTAAAGGAATATCTTTTTTATTTTATTTTAATTTTTTTTAGTGTTTATTTATTTTTGAGAGACAGAGCAGGAGAAGGGGAGGTGCAGAGAGAGAGGAAAACACAGAATCCAAAAGCAGGCTGCAGGCTCTGAGCCATTAGCACAGGGGCCAGCACGGGGCTCGAACCCATGGACCGTGATCATGACCCAAGGCAAAGTGGGACGCTTAACCGACTGAGCCACCCAGGCACCCCTTTAAGAGGGGGCCAAATTGGTGAAGTGGTCCTTTTTGTTTGAGGCATAGGGACATCCAAGCTCCAAAATTCAAAAGAAAAACAACATTCTTTTGCTACGGATAGAAATTCAAATTCTAGCATCAGCAGAGAGCTTCTTTGCACAGCAATGAAACATCTTTCAGGAAATTAGGGTTGGTTGTAGGAGCCCTGTAAGATCAGTTTGTTGTACACACAAGTCTATTTGTTGGTCGGATTATCAAGTCCTGCACCTAGAATACTCATCACGCTGTTCTGAACCCCCTTCCGAAGCCCCTTCATGAGTAGTTACCTCTCCGAGTCAGTTTCATTAGTCTGAGGTCAATTTAATATTATCTTCAGAAGATGTTACATCCCATCCCACTTCTTTGATACCCAGAGCATTTCAGACTCATTCTCTTCATCACTATCAAGAGAATGTGATATAATGTTAACCTACATAAATTTAATTTGGAAAGAAACATCATAGAGGGAAAAACAGATTCTAGAACCCTGCAGAAATCATTCTGTTGGTAGTAGAAAGAACATAGTCCCCAAAGCATATGGGAATCCTTGCCGAACTAATCTGATGTCATGTGAGATAGCAGCTATAAATACATAAGAAATGCCTTTGAAACACTAGATATTATAATTTGGATTATCCCTATCACCCACTTCCTTCCGTTAGTACAGATGACGGAAATTTGAATTTTTCAAAGTTATTTAAACCTCACAATCACAGTCATATACTCTCGGAGTACATTTAACAAAGCCTTCTTTGAAGGAAGGCTTTAATTGGATTGGATTATATGGCTTCCTGAGTTTTTTAATTTAACAAGGTTAAGATGTTTTTCGGCATTAAACTTTAATGCACGCTTGCCCAAGGTTGCCGATTTAATTTGTGTGTCTCTGATACAAGTAAAATGTACAGTCCAAGTTATAAACGATTTAAACCTCAGAGGCCAGAAAAAAATCATCAGAGGACTGGATGCGTCCAGATGTTATCCTCTGGCCTTGAGGATTGTGGCTCCCTGAGGCGGGCTGAGGGGAGGGTCAGCGACCCTAAGCTGGTCCCCAGGGTATGTGTTTACCCCCACCCCGGAGTCTGAGGCTAGTAGGCCAGGAACAGAGGAAAGGGTGGGGGGAACCATCGAAACTAAGGCACGGAGGTTGGAAGGGAGAGGCTAGGCAGGAATGCAGCGACATGCTGTGGTAGGTGTCTCATCCTGTCCCCCTTCCATGGAGCAAGGGGCTGGGGGCCATTTCTCCACCCCGGCATCCATTCTCCCATCCCAGGGTGTGGGGTGGTGCCTGCGGGTGGGCTCAGCACCTAGCACCTAGCGGTTAGAGACGAGGAACGCGGCTCTATCGCCACCTGGTGGCAGCATTGGTACTGCACCCGGGTCTGTCTGCATGGCCAGTGTCCCGCCGCCCCCGCCAGGGCCCACGGGGACAGGGGCAGAACCGGCTCCTGCTTGCTGGATTGTGGGGAGCAGCCGAGTTGGCGGGGACACCCCATCGCCTGCTGTAACAGTCATTGTGGGTGTTCTACTCCCTGGTGTGTGACCGGGTGGGATCCTTGGAGTGGCCCCTTCCCCGTGTAGTGTGGGGTGCAGGGAGGCAGTTCACAGCTCAGCCTCCTCCCTCTCAGCCGGGCCGTGGCCAGTTCACCCCCTCAGGGCAGCTCTGGCCACTTCCGGCCTGGGACCTCCCTCCACTTCCCCCTGGCCTGCTGGCCCCCAGCCTGGCATCCAAGACCCATCTCTCCTCTTGTCTCTTCTCCCGGTTCCTGGGGCCCAGCAAGAAACCCGTGGCTCTGGGATGTCCTCACAGGTGTCCCTCACTTGGGTCCCCCTTCCTGGCCCCCCACCCAACTGGGGCTGGTCAACCATCTGTGTCTGGCCCTCCATCTCTCTCACTTGGCCTCTCTTCTCTCTCCCACTGTGTCTCCGGCAGACCCAGAACGTCATGTACGACCTCATGTCCGAGCTGCACGCCCAGCATGAGGAACTTGAGGCCCGCCTGGCCGCCCTGGAAAGCCGCCTGGACGCGCTGGGCACCTCCCTGCAGGCCCTGCCCGGCCTCATCGCCCAAGCCATACGCCCGCCCCCCCCACCCCTGCCCCCCCGGCCTGGCCCCGGAGCCCTGGACCAGGCAGCCCGGAGCCCCCCGTGCCGGTGGCCGCCCATGGCCCCTTCAGACTGCGGGTGACAGCTCTTTCCACCACCAGACCCCTCAATCTTGGCCATCGTGTGGCCGCCACCTCCACGCCATCCGGGAGGCCCTGTACAGTGGCGCCTCTTGGAGTTCAAGGAGCCGAAGCTGAGTTGGGCCGAGTAGACCAGGGCCCTCTTCACCCAGAGCGTCTGGGCAGAAGGCAGGGCTGGACCGCAGGCGAGGGCAGGGGCGGGCCACCGTCCGCTTCCTCCCTGAATGGAGCCAGGAGAGAGCCGGGAGTTTCCTCTGGCCCCCTGGCCCCCCTGACTTTCCCTAGGCCCCTGGTGGGCACAGAGCAACCAGGAGAGGGGTCCTTGCCGGTTCTCAATAAAGCAGGACCCACCCAGTTGCTGCCTGTTTTGCATGGTGGGGGCTCTCGCAACGTGGGAGGTGGCCACCTGACTCCAGGCCCCAGAACAGATGGATGTGGGGGTCGAGGCGAGCCCATGTCCTCACTGTTCTAGCCTGGTGGCCCTCCAAGCCCGAGCTCAGCTGGGGACACCTGAGGACAGCTGCATCAGTCCTGACTGGACCCCACCCTGGCCTGCAGGAGGCAGCAGATAACCGAGACACCTTCCCAGTCCACCAGCCAACTTGGCTGGAGCTCCCACTCTGGGCCAAGCCCCAGTGGGGCCCTGGGTCATGGTCCGGTGGGGAAGGTGACATGAGCAGGGAGGACCGATTTTCCTTGGACCTGCCGTGGACAGGGAACATAACGTAAATCACACTTCTTCCCCAGAGCCTGGCCAGGATGGGGTGGGGGAGCTGTGGGTCAGAGATGTGAAGCCACGAGCCTGGGGCTGCAGAACAAGGAGGGCTGAGCCAGGACTCAAACCCCGGGGGCCCATGGGCCAAAGTGCAGGACCTCGGTGGAGGGCACTGGGGTGGGGAGTCCAAGTGGGGGAGTGTGTGGTATGATCCTGGAGTTAGAGTGGTCTCCAGGGTGGGCTGCAGGGGAACGTTCTGGACACAAGTCGAATCAGAAAGGGCCCTCCAGGCCTTGGGCGCAGTGTGCTATGGTGAGGCGGGGTGGCGGGCACTTGGCAGTTGCTGGGCTCTGGGCATAGCACGGAGAGGGATGCCTGGGTCCTGGGGAGGCTGGTCTGGGCCCTGCTGAGAGCCTCAGGCCCTGGCATCTTCCGATAAAGATATCAGCTGCCTGGCTCAGGAGATAACAGGGGGCGAAAGATCGAGAAGCGTGGGGATGTGGGGTGGGCTCCAGATCGGAGCTGGGAGACCTGACTGCCAGGGCTGGGTGCTACTGGGCAGAGGCTGCCTCCTGTGGGGGCCTCAGTTTCCCTCTCTGTAAGATCTGCTGAGAACAGGGCACAGTGCTCGCTTTTGGGGATCACCTAGTCCGATGGAGGAGGCATAGTAAACCTATAGCACTCAAACACAGACCAGAGTCATAAAGAAATAAACAAGACCAGAGTATGACTAGGGGACTCTGAGGAAGTGACATTTGGGCATGGGCGGGGTGGTGGGGGAAGGGGAGTTGGGAGAGCAGATCTGGGGAAGGGCGTTCCTATTTAGGGAACAGTCAGCGCAAAGGCCAAGAGGAAAGACCTGAGTTTGGTGGGTTGAACAGACAGGAGGTGGCATGGAGACCAGGGTGGGAGGCTGGGGCGGTGCCCGGGGCCAAAGGTGCCGGGTAGGGGACAGATGAAACCACAAGATAGCCCGGTGGCTGCCTCTGCTCCAGGCCGGCCGCATCCGCCCCTGCCGGCCTCTGACTCAACAGCGCCGACCCTACAAAAACAGGGCCCGCCCCGCGCTGGGGGTGGCGGCAAAGTCAACAGCGCAGGCACGCGGGCGGCACGTCCCCCGCGGCCCGGGCGCGTCACGGGGGCGGACGCGGAGGACCAGGAAGTCGACGGCCGCCGCGCCCGCCGGGGGCCCCCGGGCGCCTGCACAAATTTGCGGAAGCCGGAGGAAGCTCGGGGGCGAGCGGGACTGCGACGAAGGGCGCTGAGCCGCGGGAGGGCCATCAGGCGCGTCCCAGCGGCGCGCCCGGGGCCGCCGCGTGCGGGGGCCGTGCTCCCAGCGGGGTGTCCCGTCCACGCGGAGCGCCCGGGCCTGCGCCATGCGCCCGGGGGGCGTGCGAAGCTTCGCGCTGGAGCTCGCGCGGGGCCCCGGCGGCGCGTACCGCGGCGGGGAGCGGCTGTGCGGCCGGGTGCTGCTGGAGGCGGCGGCGCCCCTGCGGGTGAGAGCGCTGGAGGTGGCGGCACGTGGCGGGGCGGCGACGCACTGGCTCGAGGGCCGCAGCGTGGGTGTCAACGCGGTGTCCAGCGACTACGCTGCTGCCGAGACGTACCTGCGGCGGCGGCAGCTGCTGCTCCGAGGTGAGCCGCTCACTCCCCTCTCCCCAGCTGGGATTCCCCTGGGACCCTCGCCCCAGATCTGGGTGCTCTATTCCAGTACCGGGAGAGCTTCAACTCAAGGCTGTGTGGTCGGGTGACCCATCTTAAGTAGTGGGGACCTCCTCCCCAGGGTCTTGACCCTCCCACAGGACACCTACCCCTTCCCAAACCCTTTTTCCCAGGAACCCCGCTCCGGGTCTGGGCGCCCCCCCCCCCCCCCCCCCCCCCCCCCCCCCCCCCCCCC